CAGGAGGTGCTTTCTCACTCTACCCCACCTCCTATCTCTCTCTGGGGAGCGTATGCACCCTACAGCAAAAACTAACAACAACAAAAATCAATCCCAGTGGTTAAAGGAGCTGAATCCCATATGGCCGACCACGCGGTTGAGGTCCTAGACCCAGTGACTCAGAAAAACATACTAGGCCTATGTGCCTAAAATCCTAAAAGGAGGGAGGAACAGGGACAAGGGATTGTGGTGTGAACATTTCCCATGGAGGGGATGCTTTCTCCATTTTCCTCTCTCTGGTGAGTATACATACACACCCGGCCCAAAAAAAAAAAAAAAAAGTATCCATCTCAATCTCTCTCTCATAAACAAACTAACTTAAAAAAAATTCAGGGACTAGCAGATGGCGTAATTGTTACATCACTGGACTCCCACATAGTCGCCTATAGTTCAAGTCCCAGACCCAGCAGACTAAAACTCATGCTGGGCACCTGTGCTTGCCTGCCCCAAAACCCAAGAGGAGAATGGAGGAAAAGAGACTGTGGTGTGGCTGTCACCCTGGGGGATGATTTCTTGCTTTCCGTCTCTCTGCCTCTCGCTACCTCACCAGCAAGTGCACATGCCCTTTAGCAAAAATCTCTATATATTTAAAAAAAAAAAATCAGACGTCAGGCCCTTCAGGCTCTACTTCCTATTCTTTTCTTTGTTTCTTTCTTTGTTTCTTTGTTTCTTTCTTTGTTTCTTTCTTTCTTTCTTTTTTTAAAAAAATATTTATTTAGCCACCAGATCTGGGCAGCACCCTTACCCACCACACCCTGGGGGATGATTTCTTGCTTTCCGACTCTCTGCCTCTCGCTACCTCACCAGCAAGTGCACATGCCCTTTAGCAAAAATCTCTATATATTTAAAAAAAAAAAATCAGACGTCAGGCCCTTCAGGCTCTACTTCCTATTCTTTTCTTTCTTTCTTTCTTTCTTTTTTTAAAAAAATACTTATTTAGCCACCAGATCTGGGACTTGAACCATGGTAGACCATGTCCAGTGCCCTTAACCACCACACCACCTGCTGGCCCTGCCCTTCCTATTCTGATTTTAGATCTGAAGTGGATCTGCATTTTAACAGGGTCCCTCTGTAATTCTGAAGCATGCTACCCAAGGACCACAGTTTGGGAAGCACTGATCCAAAGGTCTGAAACACTGTTTGGAGAAGGTACACCAAGGCTAATAGCAATTAGCAATTCATCTTCAGAAGAGTTTTCATATGGGAGCATATAAGAGATCATCCCTTGGGGACAGGCGTCACTTAGTGGAAATTAAAATAAGTCAGTTCTCTAGAGGATGTTCTCTTGGGAATATCTGCTGGTCCAACAAATTCACCTCTGTGAACATTACCACAGTGAATTCTAAGAGGCAAGAGGAGAAGAGAAATTCTGGTAGTGGGGCCGGTGGGTGGTGTGGTGCATCCACTGTGGTTCGAGTCCCAGACCTGGCAGCTTCCTCTTCTCTCTCCCCCACTCCCTCTTTGTTCCAATTTAAATAAATAAATAAAATAATTCTTTTTTTTTTTTTTTTTTTTGAGAGGTTTTCGCTATAGGGCGCTTGTGCTTGCCAGACAGACAGAGAGAGACATAGAGACAGAAAGCGAAAAATCACCCCCCAGAGGGGATGGTAATGCCGCAATCCCTTCTCCTCCATTCTCTTCTCGGGATCTTGGGCACGCACGCACACGCACCTGGCATGAGTTTTTAAGCCACCGGGTCCGGGAGGCGAACCGCAGTCGACTATGTGGGAGTCCAGCGACATAGCCATTACGCTAACTGCTGGTTCCCAAATAAAATAATTCTTTAAAGAGAAGAGAAATTCTGGGTAGAAAAGCTCTGGGATGGGGCTATTACCCAAAAAACATTCCTTCAAGGCCAGAGCCTGACATCACAGGTAGGCCCTGCCTGTACTTCCCTTGTAGAGATGTTCTATCATCCCATTAAGCCCTCATTCCCTGATCCCGCCCAAAGACTCATTTCCTGCATTAAACAATAGTAAAGCACAGCTATATCCAAAAAAGCTAGTGTCTTCTCTTCCACAGATGACTGAATTCAGGGACATGTGGTGAGTGCTTTGGTGCCTTTGGACATAAGGAACCGCCCAAAGCTGGCAAACCAGAAACCTTCCTGCAGTTTAAAAGGCCTAGGGACACCTGGCTGGGCAAAACCTCATTGAGATGCCTCCGATCCTGCCTCCCGGGTGAGGGGCACACTTCCCCACTGAGAACTTTCCAGTCACTTCAGCTCCCTCTCCTACTAGCAGATGGTACCTACTGAGAATCAAAAAAGCCTCCTTGGGCAGCCTCAGAAATAGCTCGTCACGAGGCATGCAGCGGCTGGCTAGTTGCCCTGAGCCCCTCGGCAGGGCAGCACGGACTAACTGGATTACCACGTCTCCTCAGCTGAATCCTCCAACCACATTCCCTGGGCGGCTGGCCCCAGTGTGACAACACGTCCCACTCTCTTGGCTTTCACGTGCTAGCTGTTTGCCCTTAACCAGATGTTTTTGGATCCTATGGAAAAGAGAAACCTTGCTAGCATGGAGGACTGGCAGCCTATGCCATGAGGTGGGCAAGAGCCAGGCTTCTGGGAGAGGCTGGATAAGTCCATTAATGTTACCAAAATCCTACCCTATCTCTCTCTCTTTTTTGAGAGGTTTTTGCTACAGGGTGCGTGTGCTCGCCAGAAAGACAGAGAGAGAGAGAGACAGAAATGAGAAATCACCCCCCAGAGGAATGGCCATGCCACAATCCCTTCTCCTCTCGGGATCTTGGGCACGATGCACACATGCTCAGCCTCTCTCTTAATAATGATAAATAACTATTTCAGAATTAGGCAGAAAGGGTCAGAAAAATGGTTGTTTGAACCAGAATTCTGGGTGGTGAAAAGTAAACTCTAGGTGCTTTTTCTATTCAAACAAACAAAAAAATCCAGAATATTTAGACTAAAAGTTAACTTCCATATTTAAATATCTAAATAAGAAAATAGGCTTACTGCACTTTCTATGAAGTTTTCTCCTGTCTATCCGATGTCAAATATTTCCAGAGTCACAGGGAATTCAGTAATCAGAAAGAACTATCCTGTCATTGTCTTTTTTGTTTTTCAGTTTTTTAAAAAATATTTTATTTAACTTTTATCTATATATTTATTATAATTTGACCAGAGAGGGACAGAGTGAGAGAGAGAAAGTGAGAAAGCAAGCCACCATGTATAGGACTCGAACCATGGTTGGCCATGTGGGAGTCCAGCACCTTTAGTCACTAAGCTACCTGCAGGACACTAGAAAGCCTTTTTTTTTTTTTTTTTTTTTTAAATAGAAGTTTTTGACTTAGGGCGCATGTGCTGGCTGGAGAGAGGGAGGGACACAGAAACAGTAGAAGCAAAAGTGAGAAATCATCCCCCAGGAGATGGCCATGTCACAGTCCCTTCTCCTCCACTCTCATCCCAGGATCAGGCGCACATGCACATGAGCCGGGAGTGAGTTTCAAGCCATCGGGTCCAGGACTCGAATCTTGGTCGGCCACGTGGGAGTCCAGCAACATAACTGCTATGCCATCTGCTAGCCCTAGAATGCTTTGCTTCTGCCCCTTTCGGAGGGTGGGACATGATGTCACTCATCACTGGTTCTGCTAGTTTTCACCTACACGATAGGAGGATGCTTTCCCTTACTCAGATTCCCCTAATGGCAGGCTGTCCATCAGATGCTCGGATCATAAAGAGATAACAGGCAGTCTCTACCACCCGGAGCCACAGCCCAGGAGAGGAGGACAGCGGGGACCACTTGAGCTAGGTGTGATGAATACTGACCCGAGTGTGTACACTAGGTACAGGGACAGCACAAGCGTTCTGGGGAAGAGCTTGCAGCAGTTGGAGATGAGGGGAACAGGGCATTCCAGTTAGGGCACCCTGGCAAGAAAGCACCTTTGGTTCAGTATAGCTGGATAAAGGAGCCATCCGTGTGGCAGGGCTGTGGAGAGATCAAGCACCACGCAGGCCGCCCACTTCCTGCGCTCTGTATAAGATGGGCCCTAGCTCTAGTTTTTTCCTTAAAACAAATCCTTCCCTCTTCAGGCATTCAACAAGCATAGGCGTGCACAGCAGGAAATGAGACCCTGGGGGATAAGCCCTGAGGAGCTATACTGAACCTAATTGGGGAGATTAAACACACACACACCACACAACTTAGAGATAACAGGAAAGATACCAATCCCAGCCTCAAACTGTAAATGTCACGGACTACCCAAAGTACTAAAGGAATTCACAGGTTTTTAGCTTGAGAGAGCGTTTAAACACTATCTAATTAGAGAACTGATCAAATGCTCCATCCCTCTTGACAAAATCCTGGCCAAATGAGGCTCCGCAGGATGTGGGAAACAGTCAGCCACACTAGTCTGGCTGAGTCCAACGGGCCACTAAGCACAGGACCCCCAGAAGGCTTTGGCAGCACATAAGAGAGGACCCTGTCAGACAAGGCCAGGGGCCTAGACCGGAAGGGCGTTTCCTCCATAGGGAGAGAGGGGACGGCAGCTGCCTGAAGTCGTCGTCGTCCACCACACCCACGGGAAGAACATCTCATGGTATGCTATCACGTTTCATAGCTTGTTTTTTTTTTTTTTTAAATTTTTAAGTATAAATATATCACTGAATCCTTTACACATCTCCAGACGCAAAGTTTCTTATTATGGTAAGGACCTATTCAGTTTATCCTTTATCAGAAGATACTTTCAGGTCTCTGGAAACCCAGCGCATAATCCAGGG